TTTTTGCTCAAGTCCTTCATCACCTGTGTACCATTCTCCGCTCGTGCAATCAGTTAAACAGGACCATGAATCCCAACATCTACTTCATCAAAGAATTGACCATAATTCTTAACATTCAAAACAAAGTAAACGTTATATATGTTAGATTATAATCATCACAAGAATCAAATGTTTTAAACTTATAATTGTGATTTAACGCCTACTTGCAAGCCAACAGTGACACTGAGTAGAGATAAATCATTATTCTTCCCGTGCTTTAGCTTGAACGACTTTGTCTCAAAAGTGAAGCTGAACTGTCCATTTTTAGCAGCTTGTGTACCTGAAATTCAATAACGATATAGTTAGCTAAAAGAAATATAACAAGGAAAATGGTAGTGGCAAACTACATGAAGGTTACCCATGTGTTTTCCATAAACAAAAGCATGAAGGATGTGCCCATTGGTATTCACTCGTAGCGCAATTTCTTTGTTACCGCAAATTGGATCAGTTGAAATGTGCTCCAGACTAAAAACACATAAATTTCAATACAAGATGACAAATTCAGCTACGTTCTTGTGAGATGATAAAAATCGGTTAAGCATTTTTGTGAGATGATAAAAACCGGTAAAGAAGACTATCTGGAAAAAGAGAGGAGGAAAATGAAGCATATATCACCTAGTCATATACCACAAATAATCACTTGTGTCATTTGTTACTAATTTCTGATCAAGCAGTTCATTAGCAGTGAGATTGCTATGCTCAACCGAGCCGTTCTTGATGCGTGTAAAGTGCTCAGGCTTCCAAACCCAGTTTAATGCGTAAGGCTCCTTACTATCATCCGCTCCATTTAGCACTCTCTCCATTACTGATATTTGGGTATTAACCTTATAAACAACATTCAAAATTATTATGTATATATGAGTTTTTAATATATATTGACTAGCAGAAGTATTATATATGTAAAAATTGATCACATTTACCTGGGCAGTGTTGTAGACTTCAGTATGAGAGCAATTAGAAAGGATAGAGACAGACCAAGAGGGAACTCTATACATTATACCCTCAAAGTTAATAACGGCATCATTTGTTTCATTTGCATTTCCAAGGAAACAGATTTCACTTCCGTTGAAACGGTACGATGTTGCCTGAAAAGTTGAAAAGAAAAATATGTTTAATTGTATGGAGAAGTATGCACAAATATAACCAGTTATAAACTTTTAATAAAGATAGAACGGGAAGAATGCTAAACATTCGACAATGGTCACTAAGCCATGGTTTAAAGCTTTTTGTACGATTAATTGTCTGTTTCGTGTCTCCAATTTTATTTTTTATTGAAAGTTTTTGTTGGCTTCTAAAAAATATACATAAATGTCTTAATTACTTACGTCCATCATGTTTCCCTAATAGATTTTATCTACAGCGCCATAAGTCAGTGCCCTCTCCCTTGATAGGATGATATTATGGAGCTTTTGAAGATGTCCCCACTTGGGTTGATTCAAATTACCTATTCACATTGTTAAAACATAGAATCAGTCAGTATACAAAATTCATACAAACACAGAAGCTAATTACTTGATTTTCTGCATGTTTAATTACCATATTCATCCAGTTGTGCATCATAATCATATGATGTGGATATGCATGGACCGCCTGCTGCACGACCGAAATTCGTACCACCATGGTACTGCAGGCGTATTACTTATGCGTATTAATAATCGAAAGATGGTCGAATGACTAACTTAATTAAATTGGTAAATGAGCTTAGGCACCAAGTAAAGTGTGTAACTACCATGTAATAGTTTTGGAAGGTTCCACCAAGCTGAAAGAAACGTGCAACAGAGAACGCAAGATCCTCGGCAGTCCTGTGTGGATCTTGCAATCTATCAGAAAGGAAAAGTATAATTCTGATTATATATTATATTCAGATAATATGTAAAGTATTTCAGCAATTACATCATGAACTGGTACAACTGTGGATTTGTTTCCTAAACTTTAATTTTAATTAATTTTCACTTTGATCTATAGTAAACCATGACCAGTTTCCATCTTACTATCATGTTATACCCAAGTTTCATCCAAAAAGTCACATTTCACTCATTGAATGTTGTTTGTGATTTTTTATTTCTCAACATTATTCATTATTTTTCTTTTCGAAATGTTCACTTATAGCGAAACAATAGATGAAAAGTGGGGGAACATGACTGTATGGGAAACATTGCACATTTACAATAGTTTAGTAGGGAAATCAATCAAAATAAAAGTTAAAGGAGGAGATCGGTCGGCAATAGAGTACCAGTTTGGATATCTACTAAATACCAAATTAAAAGCATAAAAAATTGGCTGAATTACAAACCTGAGCAACTATAATAGGTCCCCCTTGCGAAGCAAAAAGTTTCTCATGCTTCATCATATCAACTATTAGGGTTGTAAAGTTTGCCATCTCCCTCTGAAAAAAACAATATAACAAAAGTAGAGTGAATAAACTGAAAATAGAAACAAACCATTGAGTTAATGTCAAGTATATTTTTCAGAAGTTTACCTCAAACACAGCATTGTTTGTCCTCAATTTGACGCCAGGTATGTTATGCAGCCACACAGGCAAACCTCTGCAGGCAAGAGTGGAAAAATATTACAATATGTTGAGCGTAGACAAAATTAAAGGTCAAAATCTAAGTGTATAAGTTGGGAAAAATAAATGTTACCCATAATTCCATTCTGCACAAACATATGGTCCAATTCGAAGAACAGCATAGAGCCCTGTCTCTTGGATGGCCTTAATGAATCTTACTAGGTCCAGATTTTCGGTGAAATCATACTAATTTAACAATAATATTATGAGTGAATATGTACACTTAAAATGGCAAAACAAAAATAATTATGGAAAAACAAGGGGCAAAAGAAATTAAACCTGACGACGAAGAGGTTCATGCGCCTTCTCCAAAACACATAAGTCTCAATGGCATTGAGACCTCCGTGTTTTGCTTTTTGGATTAACGATGGCCACATCTATAAAAGGTATTGTTAGTCTGGTGACATGTTGAGAAGTCTTTGTAGCAATTCTAGAAACTCATTATGACTAAATTAGTTAGGGCATCTGCAATAAAAAATAAAAATTTGAGATGCAAAAACCACATTTACATCTTATTTTACACTTTCAAAGATATATAATTTAGTTATACCCAAATGCAAGATATGTAAATTAATAAGATTTTTTTTTTCTTTAACTGGCGAAGTCCACCTCCACAAAATTATTTTTTTTAATGTAAATTTACATTTTTATTTAAATCTTCCTTCCAACAAACATGAATATTTTACATAAGAGTTTTTTATCAACAAAAAATGTAAATTCGCATCTCCTATACGAAATGCCCTTAGAAAACGTACTAAAAATACTAGATGGAGGGATCTAAAATGACCATAAACAATTCATTGATACGGATTCATTTGTACACCCTTATCCAGGGGGTCTAACATGACTGAAAGATGTAATTTTGCATCATAAGAGATGCTCTTAGAAACTCATTACTACAAAAAAAAAAAAATATATATATATATATATATATATATTACTACAAAATATATTAGATGGAGGGATCTAAAATGACCATAAACAATTCATCTTGGACCAATATTATAATAGGGTAATAGTGCGTTTCAAAACTCTCCCTCTTGTAAATTACCATAACATTTTTGTACCTCTCCCCTTAATAATAAATTCCTTAATGTAATGTTTTTTTTAAAAAAAAATTGTTTCTAATTAATTATCCTAAATCTTTTTGTATTTACAATTCTTTATTAAAGAGGGAGTTTTAACGAAAATTCCATGATACTGTTCACTTTAACGAAAAACCACATTTTTACACTAAAAAGTCAATCCTGGCACTATTCACTTTACTCTTTATTTTGTCATTATCGTTAAAACTCAAAATTTTCAAGCCATTTTCATTAGTTTTCCTTATTAAAAACTCCAAACAAGCCATAAATTGACGGAGGACAGTAGATAATCGGATAATTACTCAATCAGAAGCAACATGACCTTAAAATGGGGATTTTAGGGCCTTATCAAGTTGTCAAATATTTTAAGTCTTTGATCTAAACTAATATAATTTTGTGACTAATATGCATTTGGACCTCACATGACCATGGGAGAGATTTTTCAGTGTGACAGGAACACGAGGTGGTACACTACGGATCATTATACAAATGGTGAGATATGTGTGTTAAAAAGCTAATAACTTAAAAAATACAATTTCCCACGACTTGTATAAAAACACGTGGTGTACCCTTCGTATTCCGGTTACAAGGAAAAAAAATTCCTTAAAATGAAGATTTTAGGAGAACATAACTCTTAAAATATAAAATATGAGTTTGTTGTGTAACCCAAAGTTAAATTTTTTACCAAAATTTTAGAACGTGTGGTAGAAGAAAACTCTAGGGTCATCATAAAGCCCGTCAAGATTAAGTTCCAAATGGTTCAGATCCCCTCTTTTTTTTTTCTTTTTTTTTTTAACAAACGATGTTATCTATGTTAACGGGAAGAGGTAGGCTTAGCCTCACAATGGGCTAGCAATAACGTGGTTCAAATTTGTCTTTAGCGAAAATCAAACCTAAGAGCTTTCACTTTCACTTACAAGTAAAAAAGAGTACCACTGGACCGTAGTACTAAATGGTCATATCCCCTCTTTTGACTATCCTGTTCAGTCTTCACTAGATATGCTGTCGTTCAGTGTGACCCAGTTGCTCATTTTCCCGCCGTTTCTCAGCTACCAAACATTGTTTATCTAAACCTAGAAGGCTCCACCGATTCAGTACCGCATCAGGTATTTTTCTTTTTCTTAGATATCTTGTTTGTGTTTATTTTCGCTAATGAATTCGTTAGTTTCCTTTAGTATATCTCTGTTTGGATTCCGGGAAAACTTATATCAAAACGCGTAGTGCCAAATCTCACAAGTTTTGCTGTTAACTGAAAACCCTAAACCCTAAAAACCCTTGAAACAAATTGGATCTAACAAAGCAAAGAAATTTGTATTTTTTTTTCTTCTCTCTTTTAGAAGTTAAAGTTGTTTCTTTTGGATCTTAACAGAACTTCGGCTGGGTTTGAAATCAAAATGTTGTTAAAAGCTTGCATTGGAGATAGGATCAGTGGATTGCCAGATGAAATTCTTTGCCACATTCTTTCATTCCTAGTAACGGAGGAAGCTGTAAAGGCTAGCGTTTTATCACGTAGATGGAAGAATGTATGGGCTTATAATCCCAATATTGACCTATGCGATCTGAGATGTGGAAGAAGGATTCATTCAGAAAATTTTGAGGGAATCGTGAATCTTGTACTTCTCTCACGTGGCTCCTTAGACATTCATAGATTCAGTCTTACTTGTGAGGATTTTGTGAACTATTCTTGTTTTGATGCTTGGATTCGCAGTGCCGTTAGGCACAATGTTGTTGAACTAGTACTTGATCTTGTTGATGGGGGTTTCAGCCAAAAACTGGATCTTATTGATGGGGAGACCGTGTCCTATTACGCGGGTTTTGAGTTGCCAAAAAGCTTGTACATGTGCAACACATTGGTGGTGTTGAAGCTAAGACTCCAACCTTCTTTTACGATTACTCCTCCGTCAAACTGTTTCCCAAGTCTCAAGTTTCTCAAACTCATGTTCGATTGTCTTGATATTGACTCAATGGAGAAGCTCATTCCTTGTTGCCCTGTACTGGAAGATTTGAATATAGATTGCGAACTTGTCGATCTTGATGAGTTTCCAGTATTGAATTTCAATATCTCCGCACTGAAACTAAACAAATTACAAGTATATTTGTACCAAGGTATGTCTGAAATCCCTCGTGCATACCAAATATTTGTTACTGTCAATGCTCCAAGTCTCGAAAAGTTTGATCTCCAAGACGAGTATATGGCGATCTATTCTTGGAACCAGGCAAAATCCTTAAGCAGAGCGAAGATTGATTTCAAACAGCTACACCGGTTTCAGGGCATTGACAATGACTATATCCTTGAATCTGCTGATCGTATGCAAAGGCTTTTTGAAGGGTTGTTGTATGTTAAAGATCTTTCGGTTTCAGCTCCACTTTTTGGGGTAAGCTAGCTCTAACTTATCCCCTCTTACATTTGGAATTCGTCGAATGGAAATTCTCAACTATGTTGAGGAAATATGATATTGCTTTACTTATAATTGATATATACCTTTTCTGTGTGAAGGATCCAGAGATAATGCATCAATATCATCTACCTACGTTTAATTATTTGAACCGCTTGGAGCTATTTCTTCATACATGCTGCTCTTGGAAACTACTGACAAATTTTCTCAAGAAATCACACAATCTGAAATATCTATTCGTTCAAAGTGTAAGTATATGTAAATTGACCCTAAGCTAAATGGTACCTGGGTAATCTTCAATGACTTGATTTTTAACTTTTTTATTTTAAATAATCTTCAGAACGCGAAGTGTTCAGCTTTTCGCCATGGTTGTGACTTTGTACACCATGTATGGTCTCCGCCAAGGTGGGTACCCGTTTGCTTGATGTCATGCCTCAAGAACATTTGCATAAAGGGATTCCGAGGACGAGCGGATGAAATGGAAGTGGTAAAGTACATGTTGAAGCAGGGTGAAGTCTTGAATAATGTGATAATATTTATTTGTGATTTCTCTGTAAAAGACGAGGTGAAGTTATGCCAGGAGATGTCAACGTTCCCAAGGGCTTCAAAGGCTTGTCAAATTGAATTTCGAAGATAATGTTATCTAATTATTGATGTGGATTCCATTTTCAAAGTTGGGAAGGCGTCCTTTCTGTGTCGATGGAACTGCAGTCGTGTTTTGAACTGATGTTATCTGCTCTTAGCTTCTTTAACTTTGGATGAATGAGATTATGGATTGTTATGTGTTTGCCCTATGTATTTGCACCATGGACTTGGACCAGTTGACATGTTTACCTATTTTGAATGATAATTGAGAATTGTTCTGATTCATCACTTGTTCAGCGTATAATTTTAAGTGAAAATTTCTGAGACCATTATTGAAGTTTGATGAGGGGAAGTCGTTAATCATGTTTTCTATTTATTCTCTCTTTTTTTTTATCGAATTTATTTTCTCTCCTATTCATAACTTCTCAGATCCACGATTTAGCCAATTCCAAGTTAATATGCCTAGTTTTCATGTGTTATTTACAAATCAGACAGAAACAACGCCTATAATGTGTCATTTTTCCTTTTTAATAAAACAATTTTGGGAATGAGGAATCGAACTTTGGACCTATGATGCTCTGTTGACTCTAAAAACTATTTAGCCTACGTGGTGTGCATCCCGAATGACTAATAAGCTAACTACATCTTTCGGTTGAATGCAGGGCGTGCCAACTCGTCAGCCGAGCTCGGTCGGGGAATAAAATGAATGTTGATGTGGCATTGGGCACATTGCTGACTTCTTGATCTCGCGACTGCGGCCGATGAAGGAACACGTCTTGGCCTTCGGGTTCTAAAGCCTGAAGTCAAGGTTGTTAGTTCTGCAAAGTTCAATACTTAATTCGGCTTTCAGTGTGCTAAATGTAGTAACCTGGTAATACCTCACTTAACTGAGAAGACTGATGAGATGACCTATTCCCACAAGGACTCGAATATCCTTGCTGATCGAGACTTGGATAGGTAATCAGTCAGTCTCAAAGCAGTGTTATTTATCCAAATTGAAGGTGCTCCTCGGTCGACTGATTCTACGGCTTCAGTGCTGTTTATCCAAACTGAAGATGTTGCCGATTGCCTCCACAGTGTTGTTTATCCAAACTGAAGATGTGTTGGCGGGAAAAAGGAAAATAAAAATCTCAAGGCCATTGAGAGATTGTTTGCGCAGGGCAATTGTGTGTTGATTTTGAAGGGGGGGCCTTAAATGATGCACTCCCTTCTCTATTTAGAGTATACCTAAGCATGTCATAAAAACTGAAAACTGATACCTATATATACACTAAGCAGATACTTACTGGCAAGGTTCTAAAGGGCGATATGCGCTAGTTAGTCGGCGAGCAGAGGCCTAGCGCTTGGGTGTCTAGGTCGGGGCCTAGGCGGTTTTATTAATTTTAATTAAATTTATTTTATAATCTATATATAAATGTCTATTTATGCTTTAAAAAAAACACATAATTGTATTGGGGTACATCAATTGCAAAATAAAATAAACGGTATATTATGAAGTATAAGAACACATTGAAAACATGGGGGTACAAGCATATAATGAATGTTCGTGTTCAACAAGTTTATTACAATTTATTAAAAAATAAAATGCAAAATGACGCACATGTGCAAGCAGTATCCTACGACCGTAACCTAGGTACAAAACTCTAAAATATTAATCTTAGAACATTGGTTGCCAATCTTATGAGTAGCATAATTTATTGGTACATGATTGGTATCCACTCGAGTTTGTGCATGTCTGTTGTCATGCCTCAAGACTATTTGCATACGTCGGATTCCAGGGACGACGAGATGAGTTAGTGGCAACACAGTACTTGGTCAAGCACGGTAAGGTTTCAAATAAGGTGAAAATTCGTACTTGTGATTTCCACAAAGAATCAGTGGTTCAAGGACTTGATTATTGATACTTTGAATAAGGTATGGAAGAGATTTTTAAGGTCCCCTAGGGGTTCAACGACTTGTAAAAATGGATTGAATCTTCTTCCATTTAAATTGATTGTGCCTATTATTGTGGGATAATAAAAATGGAAGGTTAAGCATTAGCTGGAATCGAACCCGCATCATTAGCTTGGAATGCTAGAAGATATAGTCCACGTTGATTCACTTGTGAATGGACCTTGTCCTATCCTATAGAACATGAGCTTACATTAATTCTACTTCCTATATATTGTTTTATTATCCAGAGCAATATTTCAAATTTCAAATTTCAAATTTTAGAATTCAATATTTCAAAATTCAAAATTTCAATATTTCAATATTGAATATTCAGAATTCAATATTTCAATATTCACAATTCAATATTTCAATACTTTAAATTAACTCTACTTCCTATAGTTTGCTAGATAAGTCTAAGTTTTGCTATATTTCAAAATTCAGAGCAATATTGCAGTTGTTATTACCTATATATTGTTTTAGTATTGTGTAACTAGGCCTGGTAAACGGGTCGTGTTTCATGTCGTGTTCGTGTAACACATGTTATCTTAACAAGTCGTGTTGTGTCACACCTGTTATCTTAACAGGTCCTTAATAGGTCGGATCACTTTACTCAATAGGTAAAATGACCCTACCCGTTATAACCCGTTAAAAATATTTTTTTTCCTTCTTAAATTTGCACATACCACATTACCACATCAATATTACTTCAAAACATAAAAACACATTTGTCGTTAAGTACTACATCTACACTCCAAATTAAGAGCTTAATAAAAAAAAACATCAAACACTACTAGTCTACTACAAAATATCAAATGTGCAAGGATATGCAAAATGAATGAGTTTTCCTTTTCAAAGTTATGAAGCCTTTCTCTGAAGTTAAAACCTTGTCAATGAAACTCAAAGCTTGCATGTTATTTCTTTTACAAAATCCTTCAATTTTCATTGATCATCATGGGGAAATTGTATTGTAACTTTGGCTTGATCTATTGCCTTCAAGAGTTATGTTAATGATGTTTTCAGTAAGGTTTTTCACATCAGAACTCTCTTCAGCATTAACTAAGTACAGAAAAACCAAACATTATAAACCATTCAAATTATAAGAAGTTTACCAAAATAATTATGAAAAGAAATAAAACAATAGTATTGTACCATATAAAAATATATTACCTCATTTTTTTTAAATTTTCTAAATTTAATTTAATATATATATACACACATATATATATAATTATATATATGATATATACATATATATAATTATATATAAAGTAAATTGTAGCTATGATCCCCTAACTTTAACTCAATTGGAGCAATGGTCCCTCAACTCATCAAAACGCGTAGCTATGGTCCCTCAACTAAAAATCCATTACCATTGGTCCCTCAACTTTAATTCAACTGGAGAAATGGTCCCTTAACTCTAACTCAACTGTAATAATGATCCTTCCAACATAACTCGTTTTGACAAAATTTTTGACGTAGTTGATGAAAATGACTATAATTACACACTTCGATGAGTTGAGGGACCCTAATTGTATAAATGGTTATTCAAACATAACTTATGTTGACAAAATTTTGACGAAATTGATGAAAAAAACTATAGCTACACATTTTGATAAGTTGAGGGACCAATGGTAATGGATTTTTAGTTGAGGGACCATTACTCCAATTTGATTAAAGTTAAGAACCATTGCTACAATTTACTCTTATATATATATATATATATAATTATTATAGTATTTTTAGGGGTATAAAATTATTAAATTAATTTTTTTATCGTGTATCGGGTTACTCACATGTATACCCAGACCAACCCGTTATCTTAATAGATGCTTATTCGGTTACTCGATTCGTTATCAGTGTCAACCCGATAACATGTTAATTCGTAACCGTTCATTGTATATCGTGCGGTCAGAAATCATTTTAAAATTTAAAATTTAAAATTAAATATAAATAGTACGTAACGAAAACTGACCGTACGATATACGATGAACGGTTACGATCACGAGATCCCTAGAATTCCTAGGAAAAGAATCCTGGCGAGATCCTTTTCCTTTACTCTCTTCTTGTGAGCAATCTTGATGGACATGTTTAGCATCGTGTTTACATTACTTGCTAAAATATTAAAAAGGCTTTTTAGCCAAAATGGTCTTTGAGATATACATAACTCCTCACTTTGGCTCCTAAGATTTCAAATCAAAACAAGTGGTCCTTGAGATTGTCTACCATCTATCATTTTGGTCCTTACGTTAAATGTCTCGGAGCTCTTCGCTGTAAGTTTGGACAATTTTCAAAGTTTCGTAACTCAATCGTTTCTTAACCAAATTCGATCATAATACATCAAAATGAAGATAGGAAAGTTTAGAATAAGATTATACCATTTAGAAGCCCAATGGTTGCCGGAGATGGTCGGAAAATAGCCTCGAAGTTGACTGGTTCGAGGGAAAACTGGAAAACTCGCCGGAAACTGGGCAAACTTTAAACGTTCATAACTTCTTCAATACACAACGAAATCAAGTGATTCAAAAACAAAAATCATACTTCTTGACGAAACAAAGATAATGGTACCTTTTTCAGCAGTTAACGCACTATTATTTGGCCGGAAAAAAGGCTCGAAAGTGGCTAACTCGAGACCAAGACAGCCACTTTTGAGCCTGTTTTCCGGCCAAAAATGCTGACTTAGCCGCTGAAAATGTACCATTCTCTTCGTCTCGTCGACAAGTATGATTTTTGTTTTTGAATCACTTGATTTCGTTGAGTATTGAAGAAGTTATGAACGTTTAAAGTTTGCCCAGTTTTTGGCGAGTTTTCCAGTTGTCCCTCTGACCAGTCAACTTTGAGGCTATTTTCCGACAATCTCCGGCAACCATTGGTCTTCCAAATGGTATAATCTTATTCTACACTTTCCTATCTTCATTTTGATATATTATGGGTCGAATTTAGTTAAGAAACGATTGAATTACGAAGCTTTGAAAATTACCTAAACTTCCGGCCAAGACCTCCGAGACACTTAATGGAATTTTTAACGGAATAACCAAAATGATGGATGGTGAACAATCTCAGGGTCCACTTCTATTTATTTGAAATCTCAGGGACCAAAGTGAGAAGTTATGCAAATCTCAGATACCATTTTGGCTAAAAAGCCTATTAAAAATCCAACTCCGTTAACGAACACACTGTGTAGAGTAACAATTGCAGCCCTCAGTTGTTGAGCCGACCTCAGAATATCAAATCCTGAGCCGCCACCCCCACCCTTAGCCATGTTTTATGTTTAGGGTACCTATTACCAAACACATCAAACCTCAAATATTAACGGGTTAGATGAAGACGAGAATGGTATATGAACTGTTTCTTTAAGTATTGCTCGTAGATTTTGCGTTGCATGAATGCAGCGTGGTATGGTATTGTCGATTTTTAGTTATAATGCGTCTCTTTGGAATATTACTTAACCTACTACATGATTGATTCTATTTATGTCGTACTATAGCAAATCAATCCTTCACCCTTGGTTCACTATAATACGGTGAACAGCGCAACGACGAGTGCTTACTAGAAGTCACGAAACGTCATCAGCTAAGGATGAGATTGTTGATACTTACGGTTTGCTTTTTAAGAGTAGTTTCATATTTCATTTGAAAACATTTGTAATTTTTAAAATGACAGAATGTAGCTAAATTACTTTGTATTCGCTAAGTGTGATCATTAATATTCGATCCCACCCACCATGTTGGTGACTCATGTAAAATTATTAGCTGCACATAAAGCAGCTGCTCAATTGAGCACCCCAAAACACCACGAGGATGAGATGAGGAAGTAGACGTTGAGAATGAGATAGACCACAATGAGTGCATAACAAGTCAGCAACGCTCGGTAGTCACTTCTAACATTTGATGCAAATATAATCTTTCAACCACTTAGATATAGACCACAATGCCATTGAGACATGCATGAGCAACCGTATCCAGCAAATCCAAGAATTATCGGCATCGATAGTTCCAAGTCACTTATGAGAGAAACACATATGTAATTACGATGTTAAAGTAACAGTATCTTAAATTTATTATGCAATATTATCGAGACAAAATCAAAACACATTATATGACGTGATAAACTTAAAATGCAATATTATACCACCGGCCCGACATGATAGGCTCAAAAATTTAACTCTTGAGGGTATTTGGCATGTCATTGTGTCTCCTATAGTTAATGCCACAACTGCCCAAATCTAATTAATTCCATCATTTTCCACAACCAAATAATGTGGCTCTAGAAATGACTCATAACTACAGAAAATTAAGCATATTTTTCATATGGGGTACAATATTTTCTTCAATAGTCGGAGATTATTTGAACATATTTTTTTTAAAGTGTTATATAAGTTGTTAAATTTAAATTTTATGTTTAAAATTTACTTCTTTTTTGAAAATAATTTAAGAAATAAACGATGAAAATTAATTTAAAAAAAATTAAACTATTCATTATAAAATATCGAACGATAAATATTGTTAAATGTCAAATCCCACATATACCCTTTCACGGAGGAAGGCTAATAACTTGTCATTCCCATAGAAATTGGAATGGCCCTCCATATCCACCGACCAGCCACAAAATTTAAAGTACAGAAATAAGCATACGTATGCACCGCCCTCGCTTTATACACCAGATATGTATCATGCTCGACTGGTCATGCATCATACTGCAGATTGCAGAGAGAAACAAATCAGATTTGCGCAGTTCAATGAAAGTGACGTTAATTTTTAATGTTCTTTGTACAGTAGGCCTGGCAAACGAGTTACATCTATGTCGTTTTGGTTTTATATTCAATTGTTTTAACGAATCATGTAACGTTAAATTTATTATCTTAACGAGTAATCTGATAACAATTATGACTATGTACGAGTCCAAAAATTTTATTTTTGTCGAATCATATAATAAATTGTCAGGGTTAGTCTATGTTAACAACTGAATATATTACTCAATCCACAAGTTCTGAACAGTAACCAAAAGAACCTTTGTTTTCTTTAATTTCTCAAGAGAGCAATATACTTATAGATAATGTCATCGTCCATGAGTGGGCCAATGTCATTTATATTCATGAACACGACTATGACCGGTTGATCAACATAAATCTACGTAAGACGTAAAATTTGTAGACTAATACCAATATACCATTGACCACTCGTAAACTTACGTCATCTGTTACAAAAGACTAAATTCATAATTAACATGAGTTACATGAGTAAGGTTAAATTGACTAATCAAAAATAAAAACGTTAATCAACATTTAAATAATAATTTAATCATCAGCAACCAAATCATATGATATTAAAAAATTTGATTTAAATAAATAGTTCCTTAATATTACTTTTCCACGATACAACCCTGATGGTTAATTGCTGATTAATGTGAATTCATAGTGAGCATTTTTTTGACGTTTGAAATTTGATTCAACGACTACAAACAAGAATCAACTTTAAAAGTTATAATAATTTTAACCGTTGGATCGAATTTCAATAACCCGAATCTCCGAACTTAATAGATTAGAAGGAAAGGATCTGGAAAGGATCCCTTTCCTACCAATCGGTCCATCAAAAAACCCAAAAACCAACGTCTCATGGTGCAAAAGAAAGAAAAATGATCATCTTCGGATCTCTTCTTCCTAATTCATCAAATCAGGAAATCTGTATCATTGAAATTTGATCCAACGGCTTAAGTTATTATAACTTTTAAAATAGACCTCTGTTTGTAACCGTTGAATCAAATTTCAATGGCACAAATTTCTTGATTTTATGAATTAGAAAGAAAGGATTCGGAGAGAATCCTTTTGGGGAAAGCAGGGAGACAAGTAAAAGATTAGGAATATAAAAAATTCCGCCAATATTATATATTATTATTTACATGATTGAAAAACATGCCCATGTATGCTTAACAAACAATGCAAAACAAACAGCTAGACAATCCCTCTGTCGCTGACCTAGTATTAACAAAATTTAGGGATTGCCTTGGATGAAAATTTAAAAAACTCAAAACAAATGACTCAAAAGATCGCTTCCAACACAAGGGTCCAACGCGCTTTCCCTTTATCAAAATATGGAGGATGAAATCTCCAAAGTGACCAAGTTGGAATTACCCACAACTTCGTTTGGAACCAAACAGGCTGTGTTCCTGTTTGGTATATCCGATGTTGTGGGCCTGGGGGCGTGTTTCTTCTCCGAACAATCTCAGCTCGGAGCGAATGAATGATCATTGATTGACTGCTTCCCTTTGCTTTCTCGGAGTGGATTGCAACCGAGTGAGGTATACTTGGCACTGAATGACAGTTTTACCGAGTCTGAATCCCGGAACAACCGTGAATCCCACTTGCGGTTCAGATGCTGTTGAGAGGAACCCTCCGTCATCTAAGCTGTCCATGTACACTTCTGAAAATCGACATCCCTTGCTTACTTGGAAGATTGCGGCTTCAGGATCGAAGGAGAAGGCCAAGCAATGCAGGAGCCAGACACGCTTTGCCATTTCAGCAAATGAAGCAAAGAAATCAGAGCTCGGAAACTCACCTGCATTGATGAGGTTTCTTTGATTCAGATTGCCGAAAAATGATGTTTCCATCTTGGGATGAACCAGTCGTAAGTACTTGACACGGCAGAACTTGGCAAATGCTGATCTGGGATTCTGGGAGAGATAGTCCTTCGGCTTCATCGATTTGAGTTCCGTGAATCTCACAAAAAAGAGCTGCTGCTGTTGTTTCTTTTTCTCCGGCAAGGACTCATTTGGAAGTGAGAAGTTGGGGTACTGGAAAGCATCAAACATTTCCTTGCAAACAGAGTGTTCAAATGCAAAACACTTGTGATCTTCTTTCCAATAAAGCACATCGCGGTCAATCGCTTTAGCTGCTGCATGAATGTCCCAACCGGCAGATTTCATATCATCCACCATCATCCTAACAAAGCTCCGGATGGACTTTACCGTGTGTCGAAGAACTGTAATGAAATGGCTAGGACTTAAAGCAGATAAATGAAGATTGTCGAGCACATGTAGCTGCCCACTCTGGTTCTGGTTTAATCGCTTCTCCAGCAACTTATTATGATCCTTGGCCTCCTCTAACTTTTCTTCGAGAAATACAATTTCAGAGTCCTTCAGCCTCACCTGAGATTCCAACTTTTTCCCCATGATTTCATAGGTTTTTAGAACACTCTTCTGCTCCTCGATCTCCGCCAAAACCAGGGTAGTCTCAGGTTTAGGATCGAACTGTCTTTTTAAGAAACAACGCTTCAACTCAGACAAGTTCTTCAATTCGGAGACTACCTCTTTGTCAGCAGCTTGGATTCCTTCAGCATCATAGGGACACTGAGAATGCTGCAGTTGTGCATACGCAGCTTTAACAGATGAAACGCCTGCAAACAGTTTCGCTAGATGAGCCTCCAAGGCGACTCTTTCCTGGAGCTCCTCATTTTTCTTGTCAAATGGCTCAGACCGATCAACCATAACCTTACCACCATTCCAGTTATCCTTGACCTTTTCTTGGGACTTGACTTTCTGAATTCCATTTTCTTGAGACTTCACCTTCTGAACTCCACTTTCTTGGTAGTTTACCTTCTGAACTCCAAAATCCTGGGACTTAACCTTCTCAGCTTTGAATGCTTGGGACTTAACCTTCTGAACTCCGAAGTCCTGCGACTTCACCTCTGGAATTCCGAATTCTTGGGACTTAACCTTCTGAACCCCATCAACGGGTGCAATACCTGTTGCAGCCCGAAGATGAAGAACTTTAGCAATAGTACGCGCCAATCTACTCTTATTTGGGGTCACGGCGGATGGTCTCACCGAATCCATCTGCAAAACAAGGATCACAAATGATGGAGAGTGGATAGATAGAGTGAAATCTAAGAGACTTATCTAAAAAACGAAACTTAAAGAAACAAAAGGAATAAAGACACGGGACGCAAATGATGACTATGATGAGAGTGTTGAGGGAAAAGCTAATAAAAGCAATACGCTTTAACACTTAGACCAAGGCCATCGATAGAGGAGTGAATTTCTTTTTGATTTTGCTCCTTCAACTTTAAGAGTTTCCGATTTGCTTTCTTTCGAAAGGGTAACGAAAGTAGATCTAAAAATGCTGGAAAAAGCGAAAGCGAGACAGAGTGAAGAACAGCAAGATGGAGAAGCTTATGGAAAGACATTCACCAGACAGGATCAAAAGACGCGTATAAATCAAAGTTCTAAATGCAAATCCGTGGAACACGAGGGACCTCGGTTACAGTAACACATGCATTATACATGTTATTAAATCCGATACAAGACCAAAGATCAAAGATTAAACAATAATGCACGTTTTAATAACTTAATTAGGATTTGGAGGGCATGGTTTGGGGTGATTTCTGCTCTTAACATTCTTCGTCATCCTCTTCCCAGCTCTACAGTCGGGTCATTCCTACTAGTCAATAAAATTTAGGCATTGCCGAACACAACAAATACCTTATGTCTGACCAAAAACAAACACAAATACGCAAACGGTTTGTAGCTCAGTTGATCAAGAGCATTCATCGCTCGAACCCGAGATCCCAAGTTCAATGCACAAAATAAACAAAGGGCATCAAACCTAGGATTCCCTGAGGCAGCCAACTTAGGACAACAGTGATGTTCCTAAAGCAATCCCTGCCAAACCAGAAAATCTGAAATTCATGGGACCCATCATGGTGAAAACCTGATTAGGAAATTTGGATCATATACACCACAATCATGGTTTTTAGTACAACCAGAGGCGGTGGATTCTTTTCCTCCCCCCTTCACATGCATCACACCGTTATAATATAAAACACGAAATTACACAATTACCCCCATTCGATAACACTTCATGGTACAGAAGAAGTCATAGAGATCTGAGCCAGATTTTACATGACATGCAGACTATTATTGTAATCCAACGGGCAAATGTTTGACTCCAACTGCCATTTTTTCCCGCTCCCCCATATATTGACAAACCTCATTTCCCTCCATTTTTTTGCATTCCAACCCCACAAGTCTAGGGTTTGTAATTCATTCATTACATCAAGAAGACTCTTAAAGTGAAACTCTCAGTGAACTTTCTGTCATCTCGCAGTTTAACGTCAATTCTCGTGACAACATAAAACAAGTCTTATTTTGAAAGTCTCCTTAGCATTTCTCACCCATAAAATGTTTCTTTGTTAAAAGAAGCTAGATTGCATAGATTATACATAGGTTTCTATAAATCTCAAGTTTGAATGCCACACTTAAAAAAGTTTCTAATTTAAACCTTAATTCACCAAGTGCAAACAACACATGTCACCTTCATGCAACCATATTTACTGATCACATTACTGACCACATCCTCCAAAGTCGAGATCCATTTGCAAAAGTGGGTTTCGCGAAAAACCCCACTCAACTTAAGACATTAGTCAGTAATGTGATCAGTAAATACGGTAACAAATAGCACTATCAAACATTGACATTGCTAATTTTTAACTTGCACTCTAGAAGTTTATAGATCTTGCATTGAGACCCACAAGCTGGACTGGACACCACAAACCTCTCATTATTCTCAGCAATAAAATTGGCAAAGCAAAAATGGGGGGCCCACACAGATATACCAAAGCAGATCATTGCGCACACACAGAAACCATACCACAAATGCAAAAGTAAGGACCAGGAGGGTACAGGACCACCGTTCTGGTCCTGCAAACACTTTACCAGAACCTAACCCTATGATCCTGGTGCAAAAATGCCCCAATCCAGTAATTAATCATCTAAACCTTGCTTTGACTACTGACTGGTCAACTAAACAATATCTCGCGTAAAATACAATTCTACTTACCTTCAAAATATCACGAGAAATTTGAATCAGTTTCAATTTCTGTTCATTGTAACGTAAATCTCAAGCAAACAGAACAACGACGTCGACGTCGAAGTCGACAACCCACCGGAGGAAGAAATGGAGTACTTCCTACCTTGCAAAACAAACCCAGAAATCAGAAACACTGAAAATTTTAAACAAATTTATATAAAATCGATATTTTCTGAAAAAATAAATTAACAAGCAACTTACTTTTGTGTTTTATTCTTTGCCAATAAGAAGACAACAAGTGCTCTGAGAACCCCCAGAAGCAAAAGTCGAAGAGGAACAGTAATCGTGTTTGGATTTTGAGAAAATATATAAAAAGTTCCCCGACCTTTTACCACTACAAATTATCGGTAATGATAAAATAAAAGATAAATAAATAGTTCGAATATTAACTTTTTAATATAAAAATACGATTCTTTCTTAAAATAAATAATACCGAAATTTTTTTATTAAAATACTCTTAACTAAAAAGCTAAAAAGAGAAAAACATTGAGAGAAAAAAACACGTTTCGCAAATCCCAAAATACGAGTTAATGCAGTAATTAAATTTCGTATTAAATAAATAAGCAAATTGGGCAGCTAAAACCCAGCACGCAACACTCCAAAACAGCTCAGTTCTACCTTCTGAGGAAAACTTGCGAATTTCTGAAGCGTCTTTTGTGTCTGCTTTCGAATCGAACTCGTCAAATGCTCAAATGCCTTCAGGGTTTTGGGTTTTGTTTTCCGACCGTTTTCAGAAACAGAAAACTGGGTTTTGGAGAGGGAAACGGAAATTGAAATGGGTTTTTGGAAATGCGTTTTCAGAGAACGAAAGGCCAGAGCTTTTTGCAAAAAAAAAATCGCAGAGCTGGATTCTGGAGGAAGACAGAGGGGGAGAGGGCGGAACGAGGGTGGTGTGAAATGACGAAAGAAGGCACGGTTTTGGGGGGAAGAGTCAAGCAGCGTCACAGCAGGGGCATTGGGAATTAAAAAGGGCTCTTAGGGTAGGGTCGCTTTCGAAGTTTTCATAGGACGGATATACCCTTGCTATTCCATGGGTATTTACCTGTCCGTTGTGGGTGGAGAAGTTAAGGTCGGGGAGGGGTAGTTTGGTGTTTTAAGACTGGTATACGTCGATCGCAGGTGGAGAGTTTGGAAAAAATGTACGGTTTGTGTTGATTACTGGAAAAGGTATTGTCTGTGCTTACTGATTGGGAAGTTTGGGTGTGAGCGGATGCGCATGGCAACACATGTCACCGCCTCTTGCCCAACTAAGCAAATATTCAACATTCTTTTTTATTGGTAAAAGTATCCAATACTCTCTGTGTGACATCCCGTCCCGGAAATATTAAAACGTACATGTGAATTGTCAACTTTGCCCCTAGTTCGTTTTTTTGACGTAATTGGTTGTTTTGTGTGTTGTGGCATGTGTTGGACCACACCCACACCTGCACACACACTGTCTCACTCTCCCTCTTCCTCTGTCACTTTCCCTGTCTCTCTCTCTCCCCCGAGTCCTCTATTCTTCTTCTTCTTCCTGCAACGTACGGACACATACACAACTAAACCAAATCATCACAGATCGAAGAAACTAAGGCCATATTCGAGCTCGTGAAGCTCGTGGGAGTACAGCTGTACCATTTCCAGGTGAGAAACCAGTCGATTTCTTAAGCTCCGATTTGAGTACTGTTCATGCAAATTTAACCTAGCTAATTTTTGGGATTTTGAAGCTTGTAGTTGTGTTTGTGAGGTTCCCAGGAGCTTGGGAGTGCTTCGTTGGACAAATTTGGACGTCGGGAAAGCTTGGTTCGAAGTTGGCCAGTTTTTGAGTTTGAAGACAGGTATGATCGCGTGGTTTTTAGCCTTTAAAAGTGGTCTATCGTGATTCTCCTAGGTCTAAGCTTCATTTTGGTTCAAGAATCATGAAAATTGGTTGAAAAACGAAGGAGAATAGTGAGTTTAAAGTTTTCTCAGTTTTCCGGTGACCGGAGTCCAGCGAGGGTAGGCCGGAGAAGAAACAGGAATATTCCGTTAATTTATAACGGAATATTCCTAACGGCAGTAACGGTATCCGATTAAGTATAACGGAATATTCCGGGGTTTTAACGGAATATTCCTGACGGCGTCAATTGACACCGTCAGTGTGCACGACACGTGGCCGCGCGTGGGGGCGCGTAGGTCCGTGCCTATTTTGGCGCGTGGGGGCGCGTGAGAGGTCCAAAAATTATTTTAAAAATATGGTTGTGATCCTGAGGTTGTATAGAGCACGTTGGTATATTCATTTGTCCATTTTGAGCAATGTATGAGAAGTTATTTTGAACGGAAGGTTATATGCTTTAAAGTTAACGTTTTTATAGTTAATTCGCATATAGGTGACACGTATCCCGAGGACGAGCGTGCACACTCGAGGCAGGGGGCTACGACCCTTCCACATACCAGTGAGTGGGCTTTTGGTTTTCCGTATATACCTATATACATATAATTCCCATAAATTAGTATAAATGCTTATTCGTTATACGCCGTTTCTTTTATATAATTGGTGGTTATGCATGATTAGTTGCATCTACGTTTATTTATAAATTCAATTACGTGTATGTATATATATAATGGTGCTGTGGAGGCACAGGTAAGTGCCAGGTAAGCGTTACTTCATATATGCATTCAATGGTGATTAGAGATGTTTAGAGAGCTCATAACCTGCACCTCCGGTGTTAGTGCTCCCGCCCAGAGTAGGGCACAGTCCTTCACGTGTTGTTCGCCTCCCGCACCACATGCTCAGCTTGGATCCAAGTTAGGTGCACAGTCTTGTCGTACAGACCACTATAGGTGGTTCCGACTTGTAGGTGACCCGCGATTATTCGCACAGCCTTCACGTGATCGTAGCACTAGAGCATTTATATGTATTACACCCAGGCTTGTCGTACAGACCACTATAGGTGGTTCCGACTCATGGGCAGGTTTAGTTGTTGAGATTGAGATTTGAGCTCTAGATTCGGCCGTACAGGTCACTTTAGGTGACTCCGGCTGCCAGTGATAAGTTATTGACACGGTTTATACCTGAGCACTTGCATATTATTTTGAGGCTTTGAGCATGACGGCATACCTTGGAGCATGATGGCATACCCTTGAGCATATTTGGCATATTTATACCTACGTATATATGTTTATTTTCTGGAAAGTATACAGGTTTTACAGCGAGGAGTTAGAATGTATTTTATGAAATGGTTTTCAAAGAATTTGTTTTTGCCCACTCACGCTTTTGTTTTGCGCCCCTCCAGGTTCTAGTAGCTTAGCGGGTTCGGTGGTTTTCCCAGAGGACGTCCCGGCATTTCTGACAGACACTCACCGATGTAGGGTCACCTTCGGGTGCACTATTGTTGTATCTTTTCTTTGGACTGCTGTAGTCTTTAGGCTCTGAATTCAGCGACTCACCTACGCTAGCACTTATCTTATCACTTTATGTTTGCTAGTTTTTAAATTATTCGTACTTTTATATTATTTCCTTTAGCTTCCGCACTGTGCACATGGCTACGTCACTTCCACGTGACGGCCAGCATGTCCTGGCCTCGGTCGGGGTGTGTCACTCTGAAAATATGAATAAATTGCCGACAAGACTTAATTGAGTTGGTAATGATCGTTTTCTTTGCTAAATTAATGTATAGTTTTGAATTCAGCTGTTCGCAATGCTTCTTACTAGACGTAAAACCAAAAAATGTCCACTTTATGTCTTCAAAGAAGTTTGTGGTATGTTCTTGCCCTCAAATTGGATAGCCTTTGCTTCTCTTAAACTTTAATTAAAAAAAATATGAATAATGTGATTCGAGAATATTGATATGCATGTAGATTTTTTTTTTTTCCCCCTTAAGAAATGAAGCAACTTGGAAGGATATAAATTCATACAAAATGGACAAAGAGCGGTGTGAAAACGAGAATAATAATCCAATGCAATTTTCTGATCACAAAAAGAAAGACCAAAGCGTAATTTTGTATAGTTTTTAAGTTTACATCAAAATGTTCATAAGGGGAGAAATATGGTGACTCATAACATTTGATGATTTTCAAGTATCCCTTGATTTGACATTAAAAACGGATCCCAGGGAACCATTTGTTTGGAATTGGATCCTCTCCTGATCACAAGCTCAGGTTCCTGCTGACCAGCCCACGTGAGCTGTTAAAGTTCAGGATCCTACTGACCAGATCACGTGAGCCGTTGGATTTTGATTCAACGGCTATAATTATTATAACTTTATGAAGAACCTCTTGTTTGTAACCGTTAGATCAAAATCGAACAGCTTACGTGTGATGGTCAACAAAATCCTGAGCACGAGGATACAATTCCCATTTGTTTTAGGTTGGATTAATTTGCGTTTGTTTATTTGATTTACATCTACTACTACTTCTATCAAATTTGTAACTAATATCATTCATAGAAAATCCATTTTAATTTACGACATTCAAAATTTCATAACCATCCACGGTCAGCTACAATTTATACGTTTTATTAGAGGAAGTTTCGTGTCAAATTACGACGTTTCAGGTGATTAGTCTAAAGCACAATTGGCCCACGTCTCACATTGAATCTCGTGGCCGGTTGGATCGCGCATTGGAACAAAATAACTAAGAAATGATGAACCCTATAAAATCTGGGATAAGTTAAATTTGGGCAAGCCAAGACCACAAAAGTGGCTTGTGGTTCACGTCTTTGAATAGAAATTAGCAGTCTCTTTCACATCTTGATCATGCAACTGGTGTCCCACAAAATTCTAATTAAAAATTAGCTAACCAAATTTTTTGATCAAATTTAGTCTTTTAATTAAGCTTTTGCTATGCACTTATCAAAGGTTGATGTGCATATTAATTTGAGAGTTCGGGACTTATTTTACTGTGACTTCAGCATTGCAATGATGAATGATGATGAATCTCTCGCCTCTTTGACTTAATTCTCCATTACAAGTTACAACCAATTATT